TGTACGACTACGCCGGCCCTTTTCCCCCTGATACTCATCTGCGTCGTCACAGGCGGGCTCGGATCGCTGCTGCTTGGCCTGACGTTCGACGGATTCATCCCGGGAAACGTGGCCAACTTCTCTGTGTTCTACGCCATGATGAACACCTGCGCCGGCCTCATTGACGTGGCCTACATTGTCACCCTGGCGGAGGCCTTCCCGCGAAACCTCGGCCCCGTCATTGCCCTTGCGAAGGTGCTGACCGGGCTTGGCTCCTCCGTGCTCGCCTCCGTGAGCGTGAACCTCTTCGGCGACAACATCTCCGGCTTCATTTACGCCATCATGGCGTACTCCGTCGTGGTTTGCGGCGTGGCGGCGTTCGTGGTGGTCCTGCCGCCGTACTTCGTCAACGGGTGGCGGCGCCGCGGCAAGAGCGAGGAGCAGCTCGCCGCGATGAGGGCCCTGGAGCCCGCGTACCGCCGCAAGTTCGTCCCGGTGCGTCGCCTGGGCGTCGGCTACGTCGTTGCGGCCCTGCTGCTGGTCTTCTTCACCGTGCAGTCCCCCGTGGTGAGCTACACGAAGGTGTCGAGCGGGGCTTCCGTCGCCCTCGGCGTCATCACGATTGCGCTCGTGCTGTGCTTCTTCCTGATGCTGCTGCCTGTGCGGTGGCTGGGCGGCATGGACGACGACGCTGAGGAGGAGCCCGTGCGGCTCGATTCTGCGGAGGAGGGGACGGCGTTGCCTGGCCAGGCCAATAAGGCGAGCCCCGACCACGCAGACACCGAACTGCCAGACACGGCGAAAAATGGGCCGGACAACGAGCCGGATGCCTCGCCAGACGGGGTCGCAAGTGTGTCTGACGTCGACTCAGAGTCCCCGCAGGCTCCCCGCTACGGCGGCTCCGTGTGGGACAACCTGAAACGGCCGGATCTCTGGCTGATATTCATCGCGTTCATCTGCCAGAGCGCCATGGGTGTTATTGTGGTTTACAACGCAAGCACCATCTCCGTGGCGTTGACTGGGCATCAGCGGAGCCAGCAGACCTCCGCCCTGTACACCGCGTTTCTCGGCGTGTCCAGCAGCATTGGGCGGATGGCCATGGGAATGTTCGAGGCCTTTGTGCAGCATCAGCCCGCCGACAACCGCCGGTTCCTGGTGACGCTCGCGTTGCCCCTCCCATCGCTCCTTGCCGCCGTTGCCGGCGTCTTGCTCCTAACGATCCCGGGTGAGGCCATCCTGCTCCCGTACATTATCGTGTACTTTGAAGAAGGCGTGTTTGCTGCTATTGGTGCCGTCGTCTTCCCGTCGCTCTTTGCGAGCGATCATGGCGTGTACTACAATGTTGGTTTTCTGACCTCCGTGCTTTCCGTCATCGGATTCAACCGCTTTCTCTTCGGCTACGTGGTGGACGCGAAGCACGCCAGCTTGGGGTTTGGCCCAAAGGAGGAGTGCAACGTGGCGGAGTGCGTGCGCCTGCCGCTCATCGTCGCCACCTGTGCGGCTGCTGTGGGGGCCGTCCTCTCGTTCGTTGTGCACCTCCGCTACAGCCGTTTTGTTCATCGGGTACTGCAGGAGCGAGCTCTTGAGCGTGGTATTCCTCTGCCTCTGGGCTTCGAGAATGAGGCGTGAGACCGTCTTGGTTGTGAGGACGGGCCGTTGGGCGTAGGGGTGTTGCAAAGAACTGGGAGTATATATTTGCGCTGTGCTTTTTTAGTGTAAATGGAAATAATTGTTTTTTTTTGTTTCTTGAGGCTTTCCGTTGGCGTTTCGTGGCGTGTGCTGCGCTTTGAATGAAACACCGCAGAGCGGAGGTCCTGTTGTTGTACACTTCTTTTTTTTTCCTTCTTTCTTATTGTGCGGGGTCAACTCCCCTCCCTTCTCCCGTTACTTCCTTGGCCGGGGTGGGCGGCGGCGGCGGCGGCCCACACGGCGGTGCGGTGTGGAACCACTAGAGCAGGGCGCAGGCCTTTGCATCCCAGTCCGCGGCCGTTGTTGCTACCATTATTATTATTATTGTTGTTGTTGTTTGCTTTGCCTTGCCCTTCCCATTGGGCGGTTTTGTTGCCGCCACGCCACGCCCTGCGTGTGTGTCCCGCTGCAGCAAAGCCGCCCCGCCGCGAAACTGTTGCATCCCGCTTAAAGCATAATACCGAAATAACGCGGCGACGAAAAGTTGCGTGTGCTGAGAGCGGGCCTCTGCGCCCTTTTTTTTGTTTCTCGTTCCGACCGCGACGGGCGCCTTTCTGATTGCCACCGCGTGCCTCCCTCCCCTGCCTCTTGCCTTTCCACAGTCCTTCCCGCGTGCGTCTTCCCACCCCCCACCCAGTTGCCGAGGGCAGGCGTGCGGCGTCTTGCCTGGGGCCTTTTCCCGCCGCTGCGGGGCGGTGGCGGTGGGGAGTGCGCCCACCCGCGCCGGGGGTTGGCGCGGAGCGGCGGAGGCGCTTGGGCGTTGCGGGGCGCCAAGACGTCGTACTCGCACGAGTCCCAGCGCGGGGCGGCGCACAAAACCGTTACGTGCAGAGCAGCGGCAGCGGCGGAACACGTGGCGGCAACCCACGCCCCACGCCACGGGCCCGCTTGCTTCTTCAGGTGGCGCTGGAGCCGTTGAGCCGACAAGCTCCCGGCCACGGCTTCATGTCTTGGCGGCCAAGACG